GCATGTAGTTCTCTGCAAGTTGATGTGTTGGCTGTGCAGTGTGGCTGTGTTGTTGATGTTGCCTTGCGCTTCGCTGCTCTGCTGCCTTGCTGCTCCTCCGCTGGGCGTGCTTCCCGTGCCCTTTGCTTGCGCACCTAGTAGCTTGGTTGCCTTGTTGGTGTTGCCTTGTGCGTCACCACACTGCTTGCTCGCTCGTCTTGCCATCCCTTGCAGTGCGGTTGCCTTGGTGGTTTTGCCTTGTGCTTCACTTCCTGGTTGTCGTGCTACACGTCCTGCGTGCCGTGCTGTTCCTTCTAGTCTTTTTTGGCGTTGAGTAGCCAAGTTGCCTCTACTGCGTTGCCTGGTGCTCCGCAGGGTTGCTGCCCACTGAGTCTGCTATGTTCCGCTTGGGGACAATCTTCCTTCAACATAGGTCGAAGGGTTCATGACCCAAACCATTTAATACGAAGATTCCACAGATTGTCGAGGGTTCAGTCTGCTGATGAGTCGGTGCAACTCCGACAAAACAATCTATCATCAACTTTTTTTTTTTTTTCGGTTGTTGTGTGAGGAACGAGCCCTCACAGGGCCCTATCAGACATCACATGTTCTGGGCAGGCCCCCAGCAAGCCGAGTGCCCGCCCTAAGTGAAGGTGGGCCTGAATATTCGTCAGAGGCCAAGAATTCGACACTTTCATATGTTGGTATTCAGGCTCTTGCAGCACGCCAGTTGGTTGAGTAGACGCGTGAGCCGCACTAAGCTGCGTCGCACAGTTGGCCCAGGCCTTGACAGTTGCGCATGGGCACATACACACAAAGCAGGGCTGATACATTGAGAAGCAAGCCATCGGCCTATGCAAAAGCAGTACTGTCGACGCACCTACCTGGGAGCCCTGCACAGATACAGCAAACAGCCCAAGTCCGGAGACTCAGGCCGTGCCCAACTGTAAAGGGGCACAGGCCCTCAACTGTAGCCTCGGGCCTGGGCACAGGGACTGAGGCCCAACCGGAAGCTACTGGAAGCTTCCAGCCAGGCCACACGCAGCATCCAGGAGGCTGCCACTTCCATATAGGAAGTGAGGCAGCCCAGGCGAGGCATTCTGGCCTGCGCAGGCAATGCGGTCACGCTGCTGCACTGCTGCATTGGATGTTGCGCTAATGGTTAGGGCGCTGGCAGGGCGCGTAGAGGTGAAGTGGGTCGAGGCAAGGCAGCGGGACGCAGGCAGCCATAGCCGGGCTGTTGGCACCAGGGGGGTAAGAGGGCGATCTGGTGGTCTTCAGGGAAGGAGGCGAGTGTGGGTTCTCAAGGTCTGATGAGGTGATGAGATACGTACCTGGTGCATGAAGAGAGGTCGGCTATGGTGTTGACATCATGTACATTGGTCTTCGAGAGTCAAAGTGAGCCTGTTGCGTGAACACAGCTGTAGGTAGGATAGTCGAAGTAGAGTAGGCTGGGCGCTGGGCGCCAGACAGAGAGGAGCGACTTTGGATACTGTGTTGGTGTGGCCTACGGGCTTGAACATTGGCTCATTAGTTCATTGTATTGCTCTATTTGGATAGATTCTCGGTACAGTTGTGCTCACTGCTCTCTGCTCGTACATGACTACTCAGACATCTGTGTGATTTCGCAACTTGGTTTTCTCTATATGGTTCACACTCGTATTCCTTGCAGTTGCTTTTACCTTGTTGTTGTTTGACTTGCTATCGTTCCTTTGCTGCCTTATGCTGTTTGCCTGCCCATCTGCCTACCCTATGCCTTTCACCGGGTGTGTGTTGTTGCCTTGAGCTGTTTGCCGGCCCATGCCATCCAGCCTAGTATGTGCCTTGCTGCCTTACGCTGTTTGTCTGCCCACCCGCCTCCCCCATGTCCTCGAGCCTATGTCTTTTGCTGCACTATCTTTTGTGCCTCACTGTTTTGTGGTGTTTGTTTGCCCACCCACCTCCCGCTTGCCCTCCAGCCTATGTCCTTTATTGTTCGTGCTCCAACTGTTCAACTGTCAACGTTCGGTCCACTAGGGGGTTATGTGAGAATTGCCTTCAAGTTGTCGAGGACATGGGTCTCTCCTTGGGGGTCGCCGGGCAGAGTATACTTGTTGTGTACTGGAGCTACATCAGAGTGTGTTTACACACACAGCCACTTCATCTCTCTCTCTCTCTCTCTCTCTCTCTCTCTCTCTCTCTCTCTCTCTCTCTCTCTCTCTCTCTCTCT